AAAAAAAAAAAAAAAAAGTCAAAAGTCATACCCAATGAGATCATTAGCAGCAGGTAGAGCCAAGGCATCTGCATCTATAGAGAAGGGAGCAGAGAGGAGAAAGCTCTGAAGCAGCCGGAACAGCCTTCCATTCCCTCTGCTGAGGAGAGCCAGAGAAGAGGGTGGTCAGTAAGAACCCAACTGCTAAGACTTGGTCTGGGCGGGTTCCCTCTAGGTGGACCCTCCAGTATTCAGGAGCATTTCCACCGTAGCTACCCCACATGCAGGTCTCTGCACACAGAAGGGATCTATTTCATAAACATGCTAACTAGAGGTGTAACTGTCTCATTACCCCGGGAGGCTAGCACCAGTGTGGTGTGTGGTGCTGGCTCTCAGGGGACACTGCATGTCTCCTCCCAGCTCTGCACTGTCCAGTGGTACCTTGGCAGTGGCTTGAAATCAACATGGTGGGAGGATTTATATCACTGGAATAACCAGATGCTATAAATCAGGGCTTTTTCCCCCTCAAAGAGTTGGTGGTTAACGATTTACCAGAACACCACTAGCTGGGATTAGATGTAAGGATCATTGAACCCAACAGCCAAGCACCCTAAGTGATGAGAACAACGAAACATCCTTGACTTCTCTGAGCTGCTAGCAGGAGAGTGGGAGGAGAGGTGTATCAAGTGGCCCGGGTCCTTTGACGGGGTCACTGCTCATTCCCACCCTGCTCGGAGGGAAAGCCAGAAGGAACTGTAGGACAGCCCAGCAGTACCTATGACTCATTCAGCTAAAACATGATTGAGCAAGTTTAACTAGCTAATCCTTTTCCCACATTTAACACCTGAAATGTGGACTAATTAAAACACCCGTCATTTTTGAAACGGGAAAATGTATTGTGAATCACCTCGCTAGGCAGCATGACTGCTGTATTTGCACAGTAGGGATTCATCATTCCCAAAGAACTGGGCTTCATTAGTGGGACATGGTGGGGCTTCTGTGATGGAGCAGAAGTTTAGAAAGCACTGTAGAATACATATTCTTGTTGTGAAGTGCTGGTGACGTTCCTCATTTAGGTGATCCCAGACAGGACAGTTGAGTTTTACTTATTTTAACTGACTGCTGTCTAACCACAGCAAGTAAATCTAATTTTATCACCTGCAGGCTGAAATACCTTTGGCCTTCTAACCACTCCCCAAGGGAAGAAAGCCCTTGGTCAGCTGCATGGCAGTCTATTATTTCAGTATTATTAATACTGAAAACATCAAACATAAATATCCTAATGTGATACTGGTTGCTGGGTAGCACAGGGATTATATCAGACCTTCACAACCCCTATGACTAATAAATAGTCTTGTGAAAGACAAACTGGCCAGAAACACACACACCCCCAACACAAACAAATGATTAAGGTTTAAACCCTTAATTATGCTTCCTAGCAAAATGGTGGCTAATGAAAGCCATATGCGCTAGAAGAGTGGCTGCCTAGCAGATTGCCGCAGCCTCTGCAGGCCCAAGAGGGGGATGTCAGAAGCAGCCAAATCTTTCTGATTGCCAGTCTGTTTAACTCCCCATTTTCTCCAGGAAGCTTCATTATATCCAGAAAGATCTTTTGGGGAGTATATCCATCCCGTCTCATAAGGTACTTTGTTTCCAGGGTGCTGATTCTACTGGTGGATCATTCAGAAAGTTAATCAGGTGCTCCTAAAATGGTTTTTGGAACTTCCAAGTTCTTACTCAGAATTCCAAGCCATAGGAGACAGAGGTATCTAAGGTGCCAAGCTGATTCCATTGTGCAAAAAAATTTCCTCTCAAGGGACGTACACATGAAATTAAAAAAACAACATGGTGGGGGGTGACAATGGCACAGAGGAAATGGGACTTTGCAATTATATTTTTATAAGGGGTCTGAACTTGGTCTCACTACTCACATCACCTGGAATGGTTACCAGGCCTCAAAGGACTGCCCCATGGGCTAAACGAGTGATCCACTCTCTGAAGCCAGACAGAGAGTCTTAGCTGGGAGGTCCTTTACAGATGCCACTGTTGAGGGCCGGAAGCTGGAGAGAGTGAGCTCCATCCTCAAGTAGTCCTTATGCTCCTTTTGAACTAGCCTTGCTGTTCTGGGCCGTCATTTGTGATTTGGCCTGGAGTGTCTAGGCGTAAAAAACAAAAGGACTGTAGGCATTAGTCACAGACGTGTAAGTTCTTAAGGAGTGAATGCCATTTTTGTTTTCTTAATCAAAATAGTGACAGACCACAAAGTCAAATCTGAGATTATAATTTACCTTGGTAATAAAAGATACAGGAGATTTACAAAAAACAAGGTCTGTGTGTGCTTGGGATGCTTTTCTGGGCTTAACCCATATGTGTCTTAATAGATTCTCTGTCTTGCCAGCGTGTCTTTGGTCCACAGGAGCCACTTCCCACTTCAACTCTCCCACAACCTCCCCACTGTTTACTCTTCATGCCCTGTGCTCTTGCCCCAAATCCCTTCACCCAATTGGGATGCCTGGATGATAGATAATTTCTTATTTACGTGCATTTCTCCTGAAATTCAAGTTGCTTTCCAGCTAGTATTTCCTGACATCAGAAGCCTGTGTAAAATACACAACACATGGAAACTATTTCCATCTGGCACATAAGAAAAAAAGGGTCTGCCTATATTGTAACTGGCTTGTAAGCATGTTTTAGTCTGACCCACAACTGTATTGGTTGTTTTTTGCTTTTGGATAGTTGAAGTAAAAAACGTGGTTATAAGATGACTAAAGTTCAGCCTACAATTTCCTGTTTGGACAACAGGAAGAATTGTGCAGTGTTTTGCAACAGGACTAATTCTAGATTCTCACTACCCTTAAAGATAACTGGAGGGAGAGGGTTTTTCTTTTTCATTTATTAAAGATACTTACAGCTTCTTTAGAAGAAGTGATGGATCCTTTAGGTAATGAAATTGGTGTTGATGGTGTTATGGGTGATGATGTAACTGGTGGCGGCTGTATAAAGTCTTCATCCTTAAACATCAGAACCAAGAGTTGGGTTACTGATTTAAAACAAAATGTATTAATCTACAGTCCACTACCTTGACTACCAGGAACTTGTCACAGCTACCTCATATCCTGACACAAGATTCAAAAGGCAAAATCTGGAACCTAATTACATATAGCCAAATAATAAGCTTCCTCTTAGAAACAGATCAAACAGTACAATAAATATTCCTTATTAAGGAACATTATTGTATTGAATTTCAGTTTCATTAAGGAGATTAAAACAGGAGAAATTGACCCACTGCTATTTTCATTTTTTAATCTAACCAAATAGAAAGTAACTGTCTAACCTTAGTTCCCTTCAGTTGAGGTGCAAGATCCACTATGTTCTCTTTAGATTCCGTGAAAGTAGGTAGTTCCATAAGAATATCAGTCTTTGGAGCCTGGGGAGAGAAACATTTTATATATAATAAGCTTTCTGCTCTTCCTAAAACCCAGAAACTTTTATAGTAGTCAATGCCTTTTTTAGCACAATTTGCTTTCCACTAAATCCCTAGCTTCCTCCTCCAGCTCCACCCTTTGTGAGTACCATGAAATATGCCCCTGACATAGCAACTTAGTATTATTTCTCTTTGAGTTTTGAGTCCTTTGTATACAAAAGTTGCACTCG